AGGTACCTGGGCGCCTCCTGTAACCTCCGTGGACACTCGATGGGCTCTGTAGGACACACACCCGGGGGTTGACATTCTTCTCTTGGGGCGAATCAACACCTGTGCACAAAACACCCGAGATGAGGCTCAGTGAGCTCACGGAGGGCCCAAAACTCAGCCAGGTCTCAGAACATCCTGAAGTGGCTTTTCCCTGTACAGACACCCAGGCCTAGGCAAAAGAAAGACTGGCTGTGGGACTAAAGGAGAATATACCGGAGAAGGAGAAAACTGGTTAGCAATCCCCACATTTTGTGCAGTTGTGTCTTGGCTGAGGAACACCCAGGCTTCCTTTCTCGTCCAGAAACATCTAGCTTTTCCATGAATCTCCTGTGTTCCACAGATGCAGCAAACTGGGGAAATTTCCTCTTCACAGTCCCCCCCTCCCTCCATAGCAAAGGGAGCCCTGGGCCAGCCTGGAGCTTTCGGAGCAGCTGGAGTCGTCTCTCCACCGTGCCCACTCCTGTGGAGCTTCCCTAAAGCCCGGAAATGAGAGCAAGGCACGGGTTCCACACCCCTATCCCCTCGGTATGGTTGACTAACCTGTTGGGGAGTCTGTCTTAAGAGTGTTAGCACCTGGCCTGGCCCTTCCCCTCCTGCCCCCAGACCTTTAGGTTGTGACCCTGTCTCTGCAGACTATTCTTTTTAATGCAGCACTAAAGACACAGACGGTACTGGACAAATACTGAAACTAGGCTCCTGAGTAACATTTTACTCCCGACGGTGCTCTTAGTCCCAGCACAAGTGAACGCAGGAAAGCAAAACTCACTATAAAAGTGCTGCAGAAATGAAGGCTTTCATCTCAAGCCTTAGCCCACCTGTGGGCAGATAGCACAACCCTTTTTGGGATTTTTGCTAGACGGAGAAGACTGTACCCACTATCCTTCCAGGAACGGCCCTCACCTCCCTTTCTTTCCCCTCCCGCGAACCCCACTCCAGCTGCTCAGCCCTGACACTGTTTGCAAACTAGAATAATGTCTGTGGACTTTGAGAACTTTTAAATAAGCGACTCAAGCACGACGCATTGTTGCAAAGGGCTTCGAGGCTGAGAGGGAGGTATAGTAAAATGAGGATTGGAGAGAGGCACGATCAAGTATATCTATATATACGGTGGTGGCTATGTGCCGTGAAGTCGGTAACAACTCATAGCGGCTCTCTATAGGGTTTCTTACAGGAGCAGAAAGCCTCATCTTTCTCCCCCAGAACGGCTGGTAGTTTCGAACTGCTGACCATGAGATTAGCAGCCCGACTTGCCGGCACTTAACAACACACACACACACACATATGTATATGTATATATATATATATATATCCGCGGTAAAAAGATGAGACTTTCTGCTCCCGTAAAGATTTGCAGCCTCGGAAACCCTGTACAGGGTCGCTACCGGTCGGTACTGGCTCGACGGCACTTAACAACAACAACATATGGCGCTGTGGGCTAATGCAGTAAGACTGCAAAGTTTTTTGAATTGCAAGGTAGGTGGTTCAAGCTCACCAACTGTCCTTGGAAACCTTATACAGAGTCGCTATGGGTCGGAATCGACTGGACGGCGCGTAACAACAATATATATACTCACATCCGCTGTATAGAGTTTACCAGGAGCCACTAGTGGAATTAAAAAACTGGCCCTTGGTTTAGAAGTCCAGTGCCTATCTTACAATACCAACTAATGCTGCAAATCTTTATGGAGGCTAACTGCTGCAGTTTTCTCCTGTGGAATAGCTGGTGGGTTTGAACTGCCAACAATTTGATTAATTCACCAGGGTTCCTTGATACAATAACACAAGACAGAAAATTAACAAATGGTAACTGCAGGAGAAAGGGAGCTGTGAGGATCTGTAGAATAAGCACTGGACTCCAAATCACAAAGTCAACGGTTAGAGTTCACCAGCCACTCCGTGGGAGAAAGATGACGCACAGATTTACAACCCTGGAAACCCTATATAGGGTCCCTATTAGTCAAAACCCACTCTACGGCAATTAACAACAACCATATATACAAGCTTTTATAGAGATAGATAGAGATACACTTGCCTTTCTGAGAAAGAATGGGGGGGAAAAAGTAGTGTCGTTTAAGTACAAATACGGTTGCTTCAGAATTGGTGGGAGAGCCCAGTAGCGGTGGTTTGACTGGGGATGCAAAGTCTAGTCAGAGGCTTTGAAGCCTGAAGGAACCTTGGCCATCTGTACTTCTCTGGGTTGCGCTAATAACCTTTCTTAGAGAGGTGAAAAGATTAGTTCAATAGGGCACCATTACGTCGTCTCTTTGAAAAGACTTGTCTGAACCAAGTACCCATTTATAGGCCAAAGAATGGGGACCAAGGG